GATAAATCAACAAATGCCTAAAAATATTGGACAAAACTACCTCTAAACAGAGGACTGTCTCCTAAATAATCAATTAGAAGGCTATTTATGCTTATTTTGACATCACTCAAAACAATTTCAAACAAGAAGTTGAAAATGACCTAAGAGCCTATAGCATGTGCTTAGACCCAAGAAAAGGTCTGATAGTTTCATCTTCTGAATTATAGTCAACAGGACAGATGGTGTTACTTTTGTTCAAACACTAAACATGGTTTTAAAGGTTTTTATGGTTTGTTTTTCTTATGTGACTCATAAAACTCACTTTAGAGGAAGATTCGAAAATGGTATTTTAGAGAATAATTTGGGCTGTGGCTATATTAAATTAAGTGTTCAGCCTTCCAAGGAGAGACATCTATAGAAAAGATTCATCAGAATTTGTAACATCATAGTAAACTTGTGGAAAATTAGTCTTCCTAATTTATTATCCTCTTCCTTTTTACTAAAGAGGCAGCTTAAAACTTACAGTTGGTGGTTATTTTTTCAATGTTACATGAGCTCAGTGACTTTGCAAATTGAAAATGAGTCATTTCCTAGCACATAGCACATGAGTACAATAGAGAACTTGGAACTTAATACTAAGAAAGCCTTTTGTTTTATTTAATTTATTTAATTATTTTGCCATAGGGCTTGTGTACTTGCCAGAGAGAGATGGAGAAAGACAGGGTGGGGGAGAATGAGAAATCACCCCTGGGGATATGACTGTGCTGTAATCCCTTCTCCTCTGTTCTCCTCTCCGGATTTTGGACATGCATACACGAGGGCTCGGCATAATTTTCAGGCCTCCTGGTCTGGGACTCGAACTGCAGGTGGCCATATGGGAATCCAGCACCTTAACCACCACATCACCTTCTGGCCGCCGAAGCCATCCTGCTTTAGAGTTTAGTTGCTTTCTTTATCACTAAGCATTCATGATATACAAATAACCAAATCATTTTTAAAAAACATTTTACTTTTTAAAATACATTATAGGTGGCAGGACAGGTTTTCATGTTGTTAATGTGGAATCCAAGAGATTGGTTAAAAAAAAAGAAAAAAAAAAAGCTTTATTAAATTAGTATTTAAATTCTGAGAAATAATAAGAGAAAAGGAAATGTTTCTCTTCCTAATACGGCAGAGGAAGCAGTGAGATGACATGTAATGGTTGGCTAAGGATCAGTTTCCATGGTAGCAGATGCTCCAGGAATAGCCAGGAATAGATGCTGTTAGGGTGCATGGTGGGGTGTGGTCCTGACACACTCTCAGGGTGCTTCACCTACCTCAGTCTTGTCCTCTTTCCAGGACAGTGGGAGGCTGGCCTGAGTTTCTTTAAACACCTAACATATGAATGCATAGAGATTACTTCCGTGGCTTTGGAGTGAAAGTTTAGTAGGTCTTCATATTCTGTTTCATAAAGCCCTACTGTTTTTTTTTTTTTTTTTTCTGGAGAGATTTTTTTTTTGCTATAGGGCGTGTGTGCTCGCCAGACAGACAGAGAGCGACAGAGAGACAGAAAGCGAGAAATCACCCCCCAGAGGGGATGGCCACGCCGCAATCCCTTCTCCTCCATTCTCCTCTCGGGATCTTGGGCACGCACTCACACGTGCCCGGCATGAGTTTTAAGCCACCGTGTCTGGGACACAAACCGCGGTCGACTACGTGGGAGTCCAGCGACATAGCCATTACACTAACTGCTGGTTCCCATAAAGCCCTACTGTTATCACAAGTCTCCATCCTGCTCTGGCCTGCTGTTCTGGCATCATCATTGGTACTATTTTCTCTCATTCCCAGAAGTCTGGGAGTCTGTATGATGGATCATGCTTACTCTGAGCACAGTCCATTTCAGCCTCGTGGTGCAGAGTTTGACCCGTGGACTCAGGCACTTGCCTGCCCCCTCTTCATTTTCTTGCCTCCTGAGCACCCAGAAAATCAGTGTCTCCATGAATGACAATCTGTCCAGTAATATTCTTTTGTCTTAAGAAGGGAAGTGCTGTGTCGTGCATGCAGAAAGAAGTGATTCTTAGAGAAAACCTAGGAGTTCTGGGTTGTAGAGAAAATTAAAAGGGCAACCCTAAGGCTAGGTTTTCTATCTATCCATCTATTTATCCACTTAACCACCCACCTACCTACCTATGTGTTCTTAATTTTCTGTAGAAATAAGTGCCCCCCTCCTGAGTTACCCAGAATGAGGAGAGGGCATGGTTTTACATTGGGCCATTTGTGCCTGGGAAGTCCTTTGTATAGACAAGACAGCTTATCCACCAGGATACGACATAAATAGCATCCTCGATAAGGGGGCCCTTTCCCCGGGTAAGGCCTGGATTGGGCCCCCACCGGCTTCTCACTCTTACCTTCCACAGGAGAGCTATACCTGGCTCTAGACTTTAAACAAAATCTGCTAAATGTGTACACCCAGTAAGATTTCAGGAAGGAGGCACTGATAAAAAAAAAAATAAATAAAATCGATCTTTAATATTAGACTGGGATGTGTTTAGAAGTTCCATTGTTTCAGCATGAAGACAGTGGGCCAATTACAGGCAGTCATTCTACCAGCCCATTTAAGGGCTGAGAGGAATCTGCTGAGGAACTCAGGGCCCCAGCAAAGAGCAGAGGTGTGGAGAGACGTTTGCCAGTTCACAACAAGCCTGTGGTCGCTTTTCTGGGTTCTGTTTCATACTATCTTTCCCTTTCCTCTCTGTAACATGTAAGACAACAGATTGCACATATACAGACCTATGTATGCACTTTATACTTCTGATGGACATCTGTACTTATAAATATACAAACAATCTGCCATAAAGGTGCCCACACTGTTGATAATGTACACAAGAAACTCCGCAATCCATGGCCATTTCATTTTTTAAGAAACTTTATTTTTTAATTTTATATAATGACTTTAATTTTAAAGGCATCTAGACAATAAACCAAGTGAACATTTAATAAAATCTTTTTTTTTTTAAAGAGAGATTTTTGCTATAGGGCATATGTACTCACCAGAGAGACAGAAAGAGAGCTATCACTCCCCCAGGAGGAATGGCCATGCCACAATCCCTTCTCTTCCATTCTCCTCCTAGGATTTTTGGCACACACACACAGTGTGAGTTCCAAGTCCCTGGGTCCAGGACTTGGACCATGATTGACAACGTGGGAGTCCACCAATGTAGCCATTATGCCATGTATTGGTCCCAACCTTTAATAAAACCTTAACTTCTGTCCTAGAAGTTCCTTTAAGTTCTAGGTCTCTAATAGTTCAATAGTCATCATCTTCATCAGAGTCCATTACTTTTCCTCTGTTGAATTTTATCGTCATTTTCTTTTCTGTTTGTTGGCTTATTTTTTCAAGGATTTCTATTAAACCTTGTTCTGATGCCTTCCCACTTAGTTGTCCTTCTCTCTCTCTTTCTCTCTCGCTCTCTCTCTTTCTCTCTCTCTCTGTCCCCTTCTCTCTCTGCTGAGCACATGCACCTTCTGGCAAAAAGAAAAAAGTTCATTCAGCACCAGCAAGTCTCTTGACCTCTACTAAGTAGGGGTTATGAATCCACAATAGTAGTCTATTATGATCAACTTTTCCAAATGTTTATTAGTCATTCCTTTTTAAAGTTAAATGCTGTCAAAAGTTAAGCAATAAAGATCTTTCTTTTTTCTTTCTTCTTTTTCTCTATTGCTGGAGGGAATTGTGCATTCATGGGCAAGAGAGAGAGGGAGAACCCCTCAACAGGGCATGATAACATCACAATCATTTCTCCTCCATTTCGCCAATCATCACAATTTGGGGTGCACGTATGCCCTGTGTATATTTCAAGCTGCCAAGATTAGAACCACAACCAAGTGGGATTCAGCTCCCAAAGCACAACACTTAACCACTATGCTACGGGGCCAACCCTCTGTATTTCTTCATCTCATGAATTCTGGTGGGGAAAAATAATAGTGAAATGCATTTAGAGTCAAAAGGTAATTATTCTTGGACTTCTAGGCAAAATATTGTTGATATCCTAGTTCACCGAAGTCTCCCCCTCAGAGCGCTAACATGTCCCTAGGAGGAGGTTAAGGCAGATGGGACTGTTACTCTGCCATGCTGTAAGAGGGAAACACTCAATGTATATCTAAAGCAGCTTTGAGGGAACCAGCAGTTAGCGTAATGGCTATGTTGCTGGACTCCCACGTAGTCGACCACGGTTCGCGTCCCGGACCTGGTGGCTTAAAACTCACGCCGGGCGCGTGTGCGTGCGTGCCCAAGATCCTGAGAGGAGAATGGAGGAGAAGGGATTGCAGCGTGACCATCCCCCCTGGGGGGGTGATTTCTCACTTTCTGTCTCTATGTCTCTCTCTGTCTGTCTGGCGAGCACACGCGCCCTATAGCGAAAACCTCTCCCCCCCAAAAAAAGCAGCTTTGAGTGCCTCGGCAATTCGAAGCCCTGACAAAATGCTTTCCTGTGTGCTGTGTGATTAACAGCACACTGTGCATGTGGGTTTGTGCTACATTGTGAACACTGCGGGTAAATGTCCCTTTCAAACTTTCAGGAACCATAGCAAAACACTTTGATCCCTTTCATATTCTTTTGACAAGTCTAAGTAGAAATTCTCATTTATTGCTGCCAGGTGGCATAGTGGTTAAGGTGCTGGACTCCCACGTGGTCCACCGTGGTTCAAGTCTCGGACCTGGCAGCTTTCTTTCTCACTTCCAATCTCTCTCTCTCTGAGAAAATTAAAATAAAATAAAATAAAATAAGAAGTATGAACAAAATTAATGAATTCTTTAAAATAAAGAAAAAGAAATTCTCATTTATTAGAGATTAAATTTAAGAAGCCATAGCACAATTTAATATATTTTTCCAGGTAAGATTGCCTTTTGTCTTCTCACTGTTGAAAGCTTAGGAAGTTGCCTTTATTGTTATTTGTGTTTCCATTTTATATAATTTATGAGCCAATTAACATTCCAGTAAAGTTCTACTCATTAAAAAAATTTGTCTTATTTTCTGATCTAGGGTTACCAAGGCATGGTAGATGGAGGGACTAATATTGTGGAAGCCGACTGGGAGAGTGTATCGAGCATCCTGCAAGTGGTGGGTACCATGTTACTATTTTCGATTTTTCTATGTAAATGACTCTTCTAGTTTGAAACTGTTATATTTATCCTTTGGTCACACAGATTAATGCATACGCCTGGCATTTTTCTTACCTATATGTTTTGGGGCAAAATGTCTTGATTTTGTCATTGAATAAAACTAAGTTAAAAATCAAAGTTTTGCACGATGTAAACACAGGAATTACCCTCGCGGTAAACAACGTGGGGACAGTTGATGTTCATTAGAGAAAGATCTCTTCAGCAGATTTTGTTTTTCCGGATCAAACTTGGATTTGTTGGTTTGGTTTACAACTGCATGCTCACCTGCAAATCTTCATTTCCATTGCGTTTCCGTGCATCCCTTGGTGTTAAGTACAACAGAGCCTGGGAAGGGTTCTGCTTGGCAGCCTCTGATGGCTGTGGATTTAATGGGGACACAGCATCCTGGTTCTGGTCTGAATCAGACAAGATTAATTTCCCTGGTGAATGGCAGAGATGAGGTAATTTCTACTTTGGGCAAAACAGTTGCTTCCTTTAAATTTAAAAGAAACTTGCCCGAAGGTTTTACAGAGAGCCTAATAAATTCCCGGAACATTTGAGCTTGGTGAGGGCTCCACATCAGTTAATAAAGGCTTTATGTGAAGAGAATAAGCTTCATGGGAAACTCTTTACTGTGGTTCGGTCCTTAAAATGTATGTATTTCTCTGTGACTCATTTTGAGTACTTTTAATGGAAAGAAACCAAATTAGTGCCTTCATTCTGAAGGTGCCCGTGGGGCGTATGTTCTAATGCTGGCCATAGATTAACCCTGCACTTGTGCCTCCCTGGCTCTGCTCTGCCTGGAAAGAGACTGAAGGAAATGTTGGCCAGACTCAGTAACTAGGTAGAGCATCTCTGCAGAAATTCATGTCGTATTACCTTGAATTCCAGACAGAAGCGCATGGCCATTCTGCTGTTGTGGTTGAAGGAAGGAAATAGGAAATGCACATATGGCTGAAGAGAGAGAACGGGCCTGCGTGTGGGTGTGTGCGTGATTGTGGATGTTTGAGTGAATGTGTTTGTGTACAGCATAAGTGTGTGTGGTGTATATGAGGATGTGTGTCTCGTGTCTCTGTGTGTGTGGTGTGTGTCTTCGAATGTGTATGTTTGGGAGCCACATGTGTACGTGAGTATGTGTCTGAGTGTTTCTGTGTACCATGTAAGTGTGTGTGGTATGAGTACGTGACTGTGTGTGTGTGTGTGTGTGTGTGTGTATGAATCCATGAAAGGTGCTATCTTCTTAGCTCGGTGGTGCATGGTGTCATTCCTGAGGCTCTCTGTCTTATCTTTTTGGTGTTGGCATGTCTGGGCTGCTGACTCTGTTTCCAGTTGTAACAAATCACACACTCGTCCAGCTGCTGTGTTCAAATCACAGACCAGAGGGCCAGCTTCTCCGCACTCTGCATCTCCCACCCTAGGCTGCTTTTGTGGGGTAATGTCCGGTCACACTTAGTACCCATGTTAACACAGATTGCTGCTGGTGCTGAATGAACTCTAGTTTTTTTAGTCACCTTTTTATAATACGTTGACCAGCTGAATGGTGGTAATTTTCATGTAACATGAGTTTTTGCTAGGATTCAAGGTGAAATCTGAGTAACAGGAGAGCCAGGGTCACCTGCACATTACAGGGTACTCCGCCTCTCAGGTCAAGGCTGATGATGGCTGGTGGTCGCCTCTCACTCCGTCTTCGCGTGTGCCTGATGGGGCTCATCTGGTGTTGGGGCAGCCTTGTCACAGGCCTGCTGCATCTCTGTGCTGATCTCTCACACACGTTGTGCTCTGCATATGTAGCTGATGCCTTTGTGTCTCACTCAGCTTGGTCACCTTGGGCGTGACGCACATACATATATTTTGTGGAATTCTGGTGTGGGAGCGAAAATAGGAAAACGTCATGCACTTTCACAGTGGAGTGACTCAGATGAAAATGAGGAATACTTAAATTCAAAAGTCCTGTTTTTACGTCAGCCTACACAGATGCTGATCCATTTGGCTTTCTATCTATCAAAGGCAGATGGGTAAACATGATTTTGTATCTCTTCCAGGGCGGAACCATTATTGGCAGTGCCCGTTGCAAAGCCTTTCGTACTCGGGAAGGTCGCTTAAAGGCTGCTTGCAACCTGGTGCAGCTGGGCATTACGAACTTGTGCGTGATTGGTGGGGATGGAAGTCTCACAGGGGCCAACATCTTCCGCTCAGAGTGGAACGGACTGCTGGAGGAGCTGGCGCAGAATGGTACGTGTCCACCTGCCCTCGTGCTGTTCTCCGAGGTGACTGATCCCATGTTCGTCTTCTCTCGCCTTTGGAATACTATGAAACTCATATAGTTTGCCTTTTCACTGTAGCAGTGATAGTTTTTGTTGTTGCCCATCTTAGGGTTTACCATCCAGCATTTAAATTTGTGCCTCCAATAATAACAGTCATGATAATAGGAATATTTCCTGGGGTCAGACAGGGGTGCAGCAGTAGTACAACATTGTATTACATGAGGCTGACCCATGGGAAGATTCTAGATAAGTAACAGAAGACCTCTTTGTGTAAGCCAGCCATGAGTGTGCTCGTGATCTGGGGCTGGCTGAGACTGGGGGTGGATCACACTGTGAAGATCCCGTTGGTGGTGCTGTTTCTTTGTCTCTCTTGCTCATGGAAGAAAGAAAGAAAGATACATATTTCTACAAAAAGAATAACGATTAGCTTTACTGTGTGCCACACATGGTTCGACTTCTTACATATTTTCATGGGCTCCTCAGGACAACCATCTGAGGAGGTTTTCTGTTTATCCTCACCTTACAGATGAAGAATCAGAGACCTCAGGGGAATGCACAGTACTGTGGGTGTAGACCATGTCTACCTCAGCCCTTGGATACCAGTGTCGGCACCTTGAGCTGTGACACTGTATCCCTTGACAGCTTCCCTTGGGCCTCTTTTTAAACTTAAGTTGTTACAAGACTAAAATGATGGTAATGATCTGTTGTTATATTCCCCTTTATCACCTTTATTACTACTTAGGAATGGATTTCTGATAACTCTAAGTATACCATAGTTTTTATCTTCGAAAGCTATTGTTGTGTTATTCCAACTTAATAGAAAATATGACCATTAAAATTGTATTGCTCAGGGTCAGCAGGTGGTGTGGTGGTAAAAGGCACTGGATTCCCACATGGCCAGCCTCAGTTCAAGTTCTGATCTTGATAGCTTATTTCTCATTCCCACCCCCCCACACACACCATCTGATAAAACTGGAAAATAATAATAATAAAATAATAATAATTAAAAGTAAAGTTACATTTAAAAAATCATATTGCTCAAACCAATAGCAACTTTATGAAAGGCATAAACTTGAGATAAAGCAGTTATCTGCAAGTTGTGTAAAGACCAATGGACAGGATGGAGAATAGTTGCTGGATTGGAAGCAGTAAGGGCCTCCCAGTGTGCCCTTATCACCCTGTTCTGCTCTAACACAGACTCACTGGTAGTACAGATGAGGAGGCAAAGCTTGTGCCTGCCCCTTTGACAATTCTGACTTCATTCATGCAGAACTGCCTGACCCCACTGAGTCTGTCTTGACAGCACTGGGTGGATATCTGCTGACCAGCTCCCTAGGAACCTGTGAGAAATCAGTATGAAGATGACAAGATTCTTAAGTATTTAATTCCAGAATTATATTATCTTCATTCAGAGCCATGCCATTTATGAAACTGTTGCTAAATAAAATTAAGATTTTTTAAAAAGTTTATTTATGTAGTTTATGAGCAATAGAGTCAGGGAAACGGCACCTTCCACAGAGTCTTGATGCCGCAGTCCACCCCCAGCTCCGGTCAACATCAGGTCATGGACACATGTGTATCTGCTGTACTCAGAGTCGTCTCTGCATGCAAACCTGCAACCTTCCATGCGGGTCAGTCTCAGACTGTTGTGTTATTGTTGCATCACTGTCCAGCCCCCAAACTGATATTTTTATCCACTGATTCCAACACACAGATTCTTTTATTTCTTTTACTTTTATGATTTGATGCTCTTGTCTAAGTGTAAGGGATAACTCACATTTTTGTATGCATTCACTTTTGGCTGTTCTTTTCTTAAGTATCACAGCATCAGGTTGCATGTTTAGATTGAGTAGCTCTAATTCAAAAATCTAAAATCCAAAATGCTACAAATCCAAAACTTTTTGAACACCGATATTGCTACCTCAAGTAGAAAATTCCACACCTGATTGCATGTGATTGGTCATGGGCAAAATGCTACAATACAAAAAAAAAGGTATAAAATACAATCACCTCCAGGCTACATGTATTAGGCATACATGAAACAAAAATGAATTTTGTGTTTAGATTTAGGTCCTATTCCTAAGATATCTTACTGTGTATGAACAAATATTCTAAAATCAAAAAAAAAAAAAAAATCTAGACTTACCAGCATTTTGGATAATGGTTTCTTACCCAGTAGTTCTGAGAAAATAAAGTACTAAGTAGGAAAAGCATTTAGAATCATTGGTTTATTTACCCATAGTCATTCTGCCCCATACCTCCTGGTACACCCAGAGGATTAGCAGCTGTTACTGAATGTAAACGTGTTATTTTCTCGCAATGCAGGTAAGATCGACAAAGAGGCTGTGCATAAGTACGCTTACCTCAATGTGGTTGGCATGGTGGGCTCCATCGACAATGACTTCTGTGGCACGGACATGACTATCGGCACGGACTCCGCCTTGCACAGAATCATTGAAGTCGTTGACGCCATCATGACCACTGCCCAGAGGTAAAAGAACTTAGAGAAACCTGTGGGAATCGATTTTGGGCACATGAGATACTCCAGTTTAGCATCACTGCTGGCTCTAGATGTTCTGTAAGATGGGTGTCCTTGCACACCTGATACAAGTCATCTTTTTTTTTTTTTTTAAACTTTTTAAGAATTTATTTTATTTAACTTTATTTATTTTAATTTGACCAGAGAGGGACAGAGAGAGAGAGAGAAAGAAAGTGAGAAAGCAGGCTGCCAGGCCCTGGACTTGAACCATGGTCAGCTTGTGGGAGTCCAGTGCCCTTCACCACCACACCATCTGCTGGCTCCAAGTCTTCTAACCTGGGTGTTAGAACACAGTACAGTCTAAGAAATTGGTCTCTAGTTTACGTTCTATTCTTTAAGTTTAAAACATCAATTTAAAAAAAAAAAATTATTGGGGCCAGAAAGTGTCTGGACTCCCATATGGTCAACTGAGATTCAAGTCTCAGACCTGGTGGGTTGAAAATCATGCTGGGCACGCTTGTGTTCATGCCTCAGAGCCCAAGAAGAGGATGGACAAGAAGGTACTGTAGTGTAGCCATCCCCTGGGGGTGAGTTCTCACTTTCCCTCTCTCAGTGTCTCTCAGTGTCTATCTCTGGAGCATGTACACGCCCTATGGCAAAAAAATTTAAAAACAAAATTTAATTATTAAAGAAAAATATGTCCATGGGAAAGAACTTAGAAAACAAAAGAAAACAAAATGATCTCTTGCCCTAAATCCTCCCAGAGGAATAGCAAAAGGTAAAGACATTGTGTGAACTTTGCCACAGCACTGGTTAGAGATATGGGTGAGCTTTATAAATGTGTAGATAGAACCAACATCATTTTATGTGAGGTGAACTAGGCTCATGACAGATCATGACAGGGCAGCTAGAGTTTCTGAAGCAGCTTTCCAAAAAGCCATGTGAAATAGCAAATGAGACAGGTGTCTTCCACTTTATGGATGAGGAGCTTGAGACTTGGAATGCTGAAACAGACACCAGATAGCAGGGGCTCCTGAGCTGTCCTGGTGGATCCGTCCTGTTCACGGTGCTGCCTCACTGGACAGTTTCAGTCCACAGGTATGAACTCCATGGCCATAAGAACTCCATGGCCACTGGAAAATCACATCATCTCTTGAGGGCTAGGAGGATCAATTTTTCCGTTCTATAGTTTTTCCATTCTGTGGCAAGAACACATAGTCACCAGGTGTTGATGACACTGACTTTGTAACCCTCCTATGTGTTTGCGTGGGCTATATCTAGGCCATGGGTCTTGACTAGAGAACCAACTGAGTTTGCCCAATATAGTTGTTACCTGCAAAGAGTACAGAAAAATACCCTAGAAGTAGAAGCATGTCTTAGGGTCCAAGCAGATAGATGTTATTAAAATATATAACTATAAGGTACAGTTGCTGCTGAAGCCCTTATACTCACCAATTTGATATGCTATTGCAATAGCATTTGCTTTTATAGAAAATGGGTCATTTGGGGGCCAGCAGGTGGCATGGTGGTTAAGGCAGTGGACTCCCACATGGCCAATTGTGGTTTGATCCTGGACCTGGCAGCTTGCTTTCTAATCCTCCCCCAGCCCATACCCGCTGCCATCTCTCTGGTGAGCACATGTGCCCTATATAAAATTAAAATAATAATAATAATAATAAATCAAATTAAATAATAATTCTTTAAAAAGCACACAAAAGAAAATGGACCATATTTTGAAGCTGAGCTACCTGCCATGACTGTGAAGCAGGTTTTCTGTCTGCTTGTCTGTGAAATCGCTCTTCTCTTTGCTTTTCATGGTATCGCCCATGGTGGTGAGTGAAGAGTTCCTTTATTTCTTTTCCAGCCACCAGAGGACCTTCGTTCTCGAGGTGATGGGGAGACACTGTGGGTATGTATCTGCAGAGGATTCGGGTGGAAATGATCCTTTGCACCGTCTGCTTAGAAGCCCTGCACCTCCCCTTGTAAATACTCTGGCGGAGAGTTCACAGATGAGCCAGCATTTCTGATGCGTGTTGCAGTGTTGTGCCTGCCTGTTTGTCATTGAGCCGAGAGGCTACTCTGTAGCAGAAGTTTTAGAGGATGGCTCCTCCTCGGTGTGTTGATACCCTTGTTGTCTCCACGTAGGTATCTAGCCCTGGTGAGTGCCTTAGCCTGTGGTGCCGACTGGGTGTTCCTTCCAGAATCTCCACCAGAAGAAGGTTGGGAGGACAGTATGTGCGTCAAACTCTCAGAGGTAATTTATATTCTGTGGCCATCGGGGCCAGCGATTCTGGCTGTGTAGCTTTAACCCAGATTCACAGCGGCCTTTAGGAGTTCCAATTAGGACAGCATTTCAAGCAAGTGAAAAACCTTCTGATTGTAAAATGAAGTCATGCTTGTTGCAAAGAATCTTCTTATATTGGCTATTCAACGTCTCTTAGCTTTCTAACATCATAGAGAGCATCACCATGGAGAAACAGCTAAAAATTTTATTTTTTTTTTACATTCAAAGTAGCAGTTTTAGTTTTAATAGAGCAGGGACCGTGAGATCATAGCTATTCAATTAGATCTGGGGAGAGGATATGTTTCTCCTTTCTCTGCACACCTAAGCCTGAACAGACTTGTTTTACCTCCCCACTTTTAATCCTCCCAACACTTTGCGTCATATGTGGTGGTCTTTTTTTCAGCCATGAGGTCTCCATCACATTGGGTTTTCTGGTTAAGCAACTTGATAATTATTTTGAGCCAGACTTCTCCTTCTGTCGCTAATTTGTTCAATCGGTGTTCCATACTCTGTACTGTTAGTAGGGGGCAAATTCCCTTCTATGAAAGCTCATATGTAAGTCAAAAGAGGTCTCATTTAAGACCGGTTCACTTTCAGGACAGAAATTGCGGCAGTGTGGGTTAATTTTCTGCTCTTATTTTTATAACCCTCTTATCATTATTCTGCAGGTGAATTGTATGTGCATTATAGCATCAGCCAATTTCATTTGTATTTAGCAAGCATGTAAGCAGTGCCTGTGACTAGGGCCACGTGTGTAGTAAAGCATTTACATCAAGGTATCGAATTTCAAGAGAATAATTCACACAATGTGCTGACTTGAAAACCTATATAACAAACTTAGCTGGGAAGAATCATGCATCCTGTTGATACTCAATCTCTTGATGGAATGAGCCAGATTGTGGTGAATACCCAGAGTACAGTTATTACCCTTGAAGGAATAAGTCCTGTGTTTCTTGCTTCTGACCCAGAAGACACATAATCAGCCTCCTCAACTGCTGGCTTGCTATATGGCCATGTGTAGCTGGTTTTATAAGATGAGTGACATTCCTTTTTTATTTTTAAAGATTTAATTTTATTTATTCATTCATTTATTTTAATTTGGCCAGAGAGTGAGAGAGAGGGAAAGTGAGAAAGCAAGCCACCAGGTCCGGTACTCAAACCGTGATTGGCCATGTGGGAGTGTCCAGAACCTTAATCACCACGCCACCTGTTGGTCCCCCCTTTTAACCGGACCTTCTGTGTGGCCATGAGGAAGGATACCCAGGTATCTGCTGTCACATGGGACATCACCTAAGAAGGCTCTACACCAAGGAGCCATGGATCTAGGGTCTAATGGCAGCCCCTTTAGAAGTGAGAAACAAGCTCTCTAGTGCATGGCTATTCAGAAGGTCTGCAGCAAGACAGTGGGGTGGGGACAGTCACTCAGTTTTTAGGTACTGATATTACACTCATAGGCTATTTTTCTTTTTAAAATATATACACTTTTTTAAAAACTTTATTTACTTTTTAAATTTGAACAGAGAGGGACAGAAAGAGAGAGAGAGAAAGTCAGGAAGCAAACTGCCAGGTCTGGAACCAGAGCATCTCTACAAAGCGTATGTATTTCAGTATAAAATTTAAAAGAACTATCTCGGGCATCAGAATTCTTGGGGGTGACTCTCAGCTCTACTACTAAGACAGTATGTGCGTCAAACTCTCAGAGGTAATTTATATTCTGTGGCCATCGGGGCCAGCGATTCTGGCTGTGTAGCTTTAACCCAGATTCACAGCGGCCTTTAGGAGTTCCAATTAGGACAGCATTTCAAGCAAGTGAAAAACCTTCTGATTGTAAAATGAAGTCATGCTTGTTGCAAAGAATCTTCTTATATTGGCTATTCAACGTCTCTTAGCTTTCTAACATCATAGAGAGCATCACCATGGAGAAACAGCTAAAAATTTTATTTTTTTTTTACATTCAAAGTAGCAGTTTTAGTTTTAATAGAGCAGGGACCGTGAGATCATAGCTATTCAATTAGATCTGGGGAGAGGATATGTTTCTCCTTTCTCTGCACACCTAAGCCTGAACAGACTTGTTTTACCTCCCCACTTTTAATCCTCCCAACACTTTGCGTCATATGTGGTGGTCTTTTTTTCAGCCATGAGGTCTCCATCACATTGGGTTTTCTGGTTAAGCAACTTGATAATTATTTTGAGCCAGACTTCTCCTTCTGTCGCTAATTTGTTCAATCGGTGTTCCATACTCTGTACTGTTAGTAGGGGGCAAATTCCCTTCTATGAAAGCTCATATGTAAGTCAAAAGAGGTCTCATTTAAGACCGGTTCACTTTCAGGACAGAAATTGCGGCAGTGTGGGTTAATTTTCTGCTCTTATTTTTATAACCCTCTTATCATTATTCTGCAGGTGAATTGTATGTGCATTATAGCATCAGCCAATTTCATTTGTATTTAGCAAGCATGTAAGCAGTGCCTGTGACTAGGGCCACGTGTGTAGTAAAGCATTTACATCAAGGTATCGAATTTCAAGAGAATAATTCACACAATGTGCTGACTTGAAAACCTATATAACAAACTTAGCTGGGAAGAATCATGCATCCTGTTGATACTCAATCTCTTGATGGAATGAGCCAGATTGTGGTGAATACCCAGAGTACAGTTATTACCCTTGAAGGAATAAGTCCTGTGTTTCTTGCTTCTGACCCAGAAGACACATAATCAGCCTCCTCAACTGCTGGCTTGCTATATGGCCATGTGTAGCTGGTTTTATAAGATGAGTGACATTCCTTTTTTATTTTTAAAGATTTAATTTTATTTATTCATTCATTTATTTTAATTTGGCCAGAGAGTGAGAGAGAGGGAAAGTGAGAAAGCAAGCCACCAGGTCCGGTACTCAAACCGTGATTGGCCATGTGGGAGTGTCCAGAACCTTAATCACCACGCCACCTGTTGGTCCCCCCTTTTAACCGGACCTTCTGTGTGGCCATGAGGAAGGATACCCAGGTATCTGCTGTCACATGGGACATCACCTAAGAAGGCTCTACACCAAGGAGCCATGGATCTAGGGTCTAATGGCAGCCCCTTTAGAAGTGAGAAACAAGCTCTCTAGTGCATGGCTATTCAGAAGGTCTGCAGCAAGACAGTGGGGTGGGGACAGTCACTCAGTTTTTAGGTACTGATATTACACTCATAGGCTATTTTTCTTTTTAAAATATATACACTTTTTTAAAAACTTTATTTACTTTTTAAATTTGAACAGAGAGGGACAGAAAGAGAGAGAGAGAAAGTCAGGAAGCAAACTGCCAGGTCTGGAACCAGAACTGAAGTCAGCCATGTGGGAGTCCAGCATCCTTCACTACATGCCACCTGCCGGCCCCTAGATTCATAGTTTATTTTTTAACTGTGTAGTCTTACCTGCCAATCTTTTTGGAGTTTTGACCTCATAGTTGGCACTGTCAAATACTATAAGAATAAGAAAATGTTGGGTTTGCTGAGTTAGGACTGATAATTTAAACTAATATATGTGTGGAAGCACATGATACCAATAGATCTGTCATTTATTTTTTATTGATTTTTAATATAACACTAGAAGAATTTCCCCAAGTATCTTGCTGGATTAATCAGTCTAAGAAGCAAGCCCAAGAGCATCTCTATAAAGCGTATGTATTTCAGTATAAAATTTAAAAGAACTATCTCGGGCATCAGAATTCTTGGGGGTGACTCTCAGCTCTACTACTAAGAGGATGACTTTGGGCAAAGTAGTACCTCAACTTCCTGTGTCCTAAATTCCTCATCTATAATGTGGGATAGAACTCAACTCCTTAGGTGTCTTGGAAACATTCAATAATGATTTAATCATTTCAAGTGAAGAGTGAGGAGATGCTCAATAAATTGTGGAGATAAGGTGGCTATCTTCCAATGTCAGTGTATAGATGACTCCATGATATTTAACAACTTAAGGATAGTATCTGTTACCGATGAAACACAGTTATTTATGGATATTTTCATCACTTCCATTTTTGCTCTTTTAAGCAATGCTAACATAATCACTCTTGTACTCCAATCTTTATACTTCTAAGAAATTAAGTCTGGCTAATACATCCTCTAAAACATAACACATTTAATATCAAAAGCCAAGACAAAAATAGATTTATGCATTTGCAGTACCTGATGCAGAATCCGGGTTAGCCTACTTAGAACAACTCACTTTATCCCTGTCTTCTGGCAGGGACAGCTTCAGGCACAGTTGGCTCTGGGCTCCATGCAGTTACTGTAAGCACTTTCTACGGGAAGGTTTTCATTTTGCAACTTTGAAGTCAAAGCAAATGCATCGAGAATGAGTCAATCTGTATCTCAGAATAGTTGCTATGTTCTTTTTAGGGTTCATTTTGGGTTCATATGACTACTGTGAACGTATGCACAGCGATATGGCAAAAGCAATCACAGATATCCACATGTGCAAGCCAGCTATTCAGTGCAGCTGTGGCTGCTCAAACTCCCAGACTGGGCACTGTATTCTTTCCTGTCTCTTTTCTATGTCCAACTATCTACTTCTCATGACTGCATGCACCATCATCTGACCATAATGGCAGGGAATTATTGGCCTCAAATAGGAGTACATTGGGGTAGGGAATAGTGGCTCATGGGGACATGGCAAGAAGCTCTGCATTTGAAGGACACAGAGTGTGATATTCAGGGAGACACCGATGGGTGAGTCCAGTTTATATGTCTCCCTCATGGTGGAGATCCTTGTCAACCAACACTCCCCGACCCTGGCGGTGACTGTTGAAAACAAGGTGTTGTTTTCATTTTTTGTTGTAGCATCACCTAAGATTCCCTAAGATCCCTCCCATTGTTCTGCTCAAGTGGCCCTTGGCTTTCACCCTGCCCTCTCCCAACCTATACCCAGAACCCCTTTAATGTTCTTTTGGTATTATTAGGAAGTGCTCCTTGTGAAGACAGGTGGAGATTTCTGCCTAGAAAGAGGCCAGTTCAATTTGGAACAAATTTCCACAGCGTGCTCATCATTAAAACTTGAGGGATTTAACTTTCTGTTTCCTTAGAACCGTGCCCGAAAAAAAAGGCTGAATATTATCATTGTGGCTGAGGGAGCAATCGATACCCAAAACAAACCTATTACCTCTGAGAAAATCAAGGAGGTAAGTGTGTGTATCTTCTCGCTTTTACTCCGCTGCCTGTCTAGAAGTAGCAGAAATTAACGTATGGGTGGGGCTTACATTTAGAACATTGCAGTATATTAATTTTTTCCACCCTAGTATTTAAAAATATTTTCAATGGTGACTCATAACTTCATTGGCACGAGAAACATACAGCTCCCAACTTCTGGAGAGCCAGTGCTTTTTGCATTCTCTCTTATGATGTCCCCTCGGGTTCATACCTGCCCCAACAAAAACTGAGGGTACCTGGTAGCAGCCAAGTATAACAAAGGTCTAGCACTTAAACATAACAACTGTTTTGAGAATGAGGACTGACTACTTGGCAGCTGGCCTGGCCCTCTCTGCAACAGTAGAAAGTGGTGGTATCCTCTAGTCCCTCCTTGTAATCCAGAGTGGCAGCTGAGCATGTCCTTACAAAGAAAGCTGCTTTGTGGGGCTTGCGTCATTGCTTCCTCGTGGCCTTGAGCAGAGGCAGACCCTGGCAGACTTGTCATGAGACTGGCTCAGACGGGCACTCGCCCGTCTCGACAGGACTCTGATGTTGCCGGCCAGGCTCCTGGTGACAGAGGTAGCTGGAAGCACCAACAACAAAACCCTGGGCAGGAGACAGGCTCTGGTTCTAGCCACAGGGCTCTGGTTTGAGCCACAGGCCAGGACGGCAGATGTCACCAACCTTGCTTAGCAGGTTGCTTTCTTTGTTATGTGTAAGTAAGATCAGTTAATGAATGAAATGTGTCTCTTAGTGATATAAATACCAGCGGTGCACCTGGATATTAAAACATTGGTAGATGCCTGTGGAAAATATTTGTTGGCCTAGTCTAGTGATGCAGTCTCTCTCGTGGTGGAAATAAAGAGTGAACTCAGTGCTGCAAACCACAGAGTTGTCACGGGTTCAGATTTTTGGTCCATCTGACCTGAAACACACTGGGCATATATGTGGGTGCCCAAGATCCTGATGAGCTGGAGGGCTGTGGGAAGGAAAGTGCAATATGGAGAGGCCCTGGTGAGGGTCGCTCTCTCTCTCTCTCTCTCATATGTGCTCTCTATCATGGACAAATAAATAAATAGGATATATGCCAGATAATCAGTAAAATTGGTGCAAATATTCTCTATCCTACTTGATTGAAATTAAATCATGAAACATTGGACTAAGAAGGGACCATGGAATTCATATAGTCCAACCTCATTGCTTTCTATAAAGGAGTTCCAGAGAAGCTAGGTTGCCCCTCCTGGTCACCAGGTAGCATTCCCACAGGCCCCAGACTGAAAGAGATGCCTTGATTTTATTAGCTTGTGCTGTTCAAATCACAGCTGCACAAGCTGAAGGTGGCTAAAGGGGCGTGTTTATATCTTTAAAAACTATAAGTAACCATTTAAGTATAAGCTATTGGAACTTTTAAAAAAATCATGTCATTTATATTCATTGGCAAGGAGGGAGACAAAGACTTTATTTGATAATAAAATTATGCTTTTTAAAGATAAATTCCAGCTACCTGTTAAACATCTCTTCAGGAAGAAAAAGGGTAGACATTATAGCAAACCACAGTGGTGCAGTGGTGGCACGGAGCTCTGTGATGCTGAGGCCATTGGGAGGGTCCGGGACCATGTCCCTGGGTCTCACCGTATATGTGGGTGTGTGTGCATGTGCCATGATCCTGGCTGACGGAGGCCAAGGAATAGGCTTGAGAGCCTCTTGAGGGTGCTTGTCCCTCTCCCTTTCTTTCTCTACCTATCTCTGTCTCTCTCTTATTCATGGAAGAAATAAATACATGTACTCAAAATAATTTTGAAAAGATCATTCCCCCCCCCCCGCCCCACCACAGAAAGTTCTAAAGAAAGAAAAAAAATCTTTCATGATACCCAGCCTGCATTTTCAAGTCTGAGTTGATCTGTCCACATTGCAATTCTGTTTCCTAATGGCGCTATCTTTTTACCTACAGCTTGTAGTCACCCAGCTGGGCTATGACACTCGGGTGACCATTCTCGGACATGTGCAGAGAGGAGGGACTCCCTCAGCGTTTGACAGGATTTTGGTAAGTGCGGATGGAAGTGCCAGATGTTTCTAGGGAAGAAATGGTTCTGGAACGGGTTTTTCCCAGAAGACTCACTGACACTGTCATCCTTGGGCATATTTACAGCCACGTTGTTAAAGATCCTTTGATACTCGCTAGCATAGAATGATTTTAGGCCTACAGCCACTGGGAGGTCAGACGCCCCACCTAGCATGGGAAGGTGGTATGCCCACTGTTGAGGGTGGCTTAGATAACTGGCAAACAAAACCCTGAGGTGTAAAAGCAGTGCTCCACGTGTGGATTTATAGGTCTGCCCTGGAGATGGGAAAACAGAGTTCAAATTCTAGTCCCTGATGTGTCCTGCTCGCTATTTATCCTCACACCTCTTCTCCACTCCCTGTTTTACTAATTTTTACTGAGATTGTAGCCCCCTTTTTAAAGATAAGTGGGCAAAAAATGCGTAGGGTGGGCGGTAGCGAGTAGGGTGGGCGGTCGCGAGTAGGGTGGGCGGTTGCGAATAGGGGTTGTGAGTAGGGTGGGCGGTTGCGAGTAGGGGTTGCGAGTAGGGTGGGCTGTTGCAAGTGGGGTGGGCGGTCGCCAGTAGGGTGGGCGGTAGCATCTAGTCGAATCTGCTTGAGATCATGGAAAGAAAGCAGTAATATTCCCCAGCACGGTCCCCAGTAGGCATGAGGATGCCTCCTGCTGAGAACGTGAGACAGGATGGTGGGCTGTCTTTGAGCATCACGAATGTCATTTCCAGGCCAGTCGCATGGGAGTGGAAGCAGTCATCGCGCTGCTGGAAGCCACCCCTGAGACCCCCGCTTGCGTCGTGTCGCTGAGTGGAAACCATGCCGTGCGCCTGCCCCTGATGGAGTGTGTGCAGATGGTGAGTGCAGGCAGCCCCGGGTGCGGAGGGCTGTGGGGTGGGAGGGCCATGCTGCTGTTCTGCACAGCTCCTCTGAGACCTTGATGAGCTGTCCCTGGGTGGTAGCAACAAGCTTCCCATTTTTACCATGCACTCATGCTGGGCTTGTGTGCATACATCCCCAAGAACCCAGCAGGAGAATGGAGGAGAAGGAATTGCAGCATGTTCTTCCCCCAGGGTCGTGATTTCTCGCTTTACCTCATCTCCCGCCCCACATGAGTACATGTGCCCTAAGGCAAAAACCTCTACAGAAAAGAAAATACTAGTTTCCAAGATCAGCCCTATGGTACAGCGCTGTGCATAACTATGATTGGAGTCCCAGCTCTAGTGGCTTAAAGAAAACACTAGGTGCACATGTATGTGTGCCCAGAATACTGGTGGGATGGAGAAATGGAGGAAAAAGGATTGAGATATAGTTGTTCTACGTTCAGGGGTTCTCTTTCTCTGTCTCTCTCTCATGCTGGAGAGCTTACGTACCCTCTACCAAAAAAAAAAATTATCTAGAAGAAAAAACTCCAAAAGTCATGGAAGTAAATAAAGTTTGTGTGTGAGTGTGTATGTGTGTTTTCGTGAGGGTTTGTGTGATGTTATGTGTCTGTATGTGTGCGTGCATGTATGTATGCAAGTGTGAGTGTGTATGAGCACATGACAGGTTTGAAAGGGTCAGAGCACTGAACTCTGCAATATGTTCTTTTGCGCTGTTTCTAGAACATGAGTAGTGTCTCTGCTCGTCCAGAGACAAACATTGGGTAGATACAACTTGGCCTGTCCTGCAAACCATCATACAGGGGAAACCTCCTACACATGGAGGCTTAAAACTCATGCAGGGCGCCTGTGTTTGTGTGTGGCCAAAATCCTGAGAGGAGAATGGAGGAGAAGGGATTGCAGCATGGCCATCTCTCCAGGGGATAATTTCTCTCTCTCTGTCTCTCTGGCAAGCACACCTGCCCTATAGCAAAAATCTAAACATTGGGTAGATACAACTTGGCCTGTCCTGCAAACCATCATACAGGGGAAACCTCCTACACATGGAGGCTTAAAACTCATGCAGGGCGCCTGTGTTTGTGTGTGGCCAAAATCCTGAGAGGAGAATGGAGGAGAAGGGATTGCAGCATGGCCATCTCTCCAGGGGATAATTTCTCTCTCTCTGTCTCTCTGGCAAGCACACCTGCCCTATAGCAAAAATCTCTCTCAAAAAAAAAAAAAAAAAAAGCCACAGTGTGCCGTTCTCAGAGCACCTGCTGTTTCAAAGCCATAGAGGCCCACTCATTGAGCACCTGATGTTTGTCAGCCATTTTCCTGACATGTTTCTGACATGCCTTTAATTAGCATTTGGTCTTTCCCATGACTTTAATGTCAATGAACATTTCTGACATGTTTTTAATAACCATAGACAACACTGGAAGTAAGCGTATTTTTCTTATCTTATAAATGAAGAAATTGAAATTCAGAGACATAAACAATTTGCCCAAGACCCTAAAATTAGCAGGCTAACTGGGGTGGTCCTGGCCTGTCTGTTCCCCCTATGTCTGCTGTGACCACATTCAGGCCCCGCAGCCCTCCTCAAGGTGATGTCTTTTGTTTCCCTTTCTTCACTACTGGAATCAACTTGAGAACTTTTCAGAAACTTGCCTGAGAGATCCATTTCCTCTTGCTTTGTTCTTGTGGAGTGAAATCCTTATGATTTCCTGGCCATGAATAGCGGGACACCTCATTTTCCTTGGAAGCCGCCTTAGCTGGGTGGATCCCAGGCTCCAGACTTACAGTGAGGCCACAGGCTGGCTGCCAAACACAGTCAGGATGCAACTGGTGGCCAGCTGTCTAGACCCGCTCTGCTGGGGCTGCCTACTTGCCCCAGTCAGACCATGAGGGGGCCTGCAGAGAAAGTATCATGTTTGTCTCCCACCAGTTCCATGCATGCATTGTTGAATCTTGGCACATTTTTCCTTCCGTTATGTTTTGAAAGACCCAGGATGTACAAAAGGCGATGGATGAACGAAGATTTAAAGATGCTGTCCAACTCCGAGGGAGGTGAGTTACTTTGAAAAAAAAAAAAAAATGCTCATCTTAACACATGGTCCTCTCTGCTGGTCATTTAGAATGAGCTTAGAAGTTGTGCTCATTCTGTCTTAATATAAAAATTAAAAAACTAGAGCAGCATGCAAGGCCCAGAGGACTGGAGAGACATAGTTCTTTCTGTTTGTCATTGGGAGTTTTTGACAGGGCAGGGGTTGTTCAAAGCCTAGTGAACTTAAGGTTCAAGGGGACAGTATTTTGTAAAAGACACTTAAGACATACCCAGGACACTATTTTCCTTTAGCTTATTTATGAACTCAACATGGATGGCTCTGTGAGTCCTCTGTCAAGGGTTTCACAGGACCTATGTAATATCAGGTCTCCTCCTTCTCTGATAGTCAAGAGGCAAGTTGAACATTCACAGAATGCAGATTTGCCTTGAGTAGAATTGTGGTCTCTCTCCCCAGATGAGCCCCCTCTTGTCACATCCAGTATTCTCAACTCTGACTCAACAATTTCCTTCTCTCCTAGGAGCTTTGAGGGCAACCTGAACACCTATAAGCGGCTTGCCATCAAGTTGCCTGATGACCAGATCCCAAAGGTGGGTGGCCACCCTCTGGGGATGCCCAGAGCTTTACAAAGCTCAGTGCCCTTCTGCCCTGGCTGATGCAGGTCGCAATCTAAATGTCAGCTCCTAGAAGGTTGTCCTTGACCTCTTATGGACTTTCCAGCCCAGCCTCTCTCCTAATGAGGATGAATGTTGCCTGGTCTGGCACAGAGTGGGCCTCTTGCCAGTGTACAGCTGATGGGAGCATGCACCTGCCTGGTGACACAGGGCCTACCTTCTCCTGTTTTGCAGAGCAATTGCAATGTGGCTGTCATCAATGTGGGAGCACCTGCAGCTGGGATGAATGCTGCCGTGCGCTCGGCTGTGCGAGTGGGCATCGCCGATGGTCACAAAATGCTCGCAATCTATGATGGCTTTGATGGCTTTGCCAAAGGACAGGTGAGTCTCCCACAAGGCCCCAGGCAGCAAACACCCTGTATTGAACATCATTGAACACAAAGGTGCTGGCCACCCAGGGCTTTCCTACACTTCCCATCCAGGGTTCTGTAACATTGTGAATATATGACTATTTATTTACTACTTATTCTGTCCTAAGGTTGCAGGCTCCCAAATCAAGCACAGTTGTAATGTATTCTAAGGTTTTCTCAAAAGGCATCAGGGATGGCAGGAACTCTGGCATCCAGTGGACTCTGACCTTACTTGAAAAGAATATGATTAAGCTTCCTTTGTTTCAACCACTCCATGTTTCTCTTTTTTTTGTTGCTTTTTTCTTGATACATTTATATATAATAAATTCCTATGACACTGATTCCAAAAGATATATATAAATTGGCTTGACATGATTAACAATTTAAAGTGGAATATGAGCATAAGGGCAACTTAAACATGGGCATTCATTTACATGAGTCAATTCAAGGTCAGTGACTATATTAGGAAAAAAAGTGAGGTTGGAAAATCTTTAGAAAGCAACCCTGTATTGGGGACCAGCAGTTGGTGTAATGGCTGTGTCGCTGGACTCCCATGTAGCTGACCACAGTTCAAGTCCCAGATCGGGTGGCTTAAACTCACGCCGGGAGCCATGTGCGTGTGTGCCCAAGATTCCAAGAGGAGAATGGAAGAGAAGGGATTGTAGCATAGCCATCCCCCTTGAGGATGATTTCTCGCTTTCTGTCTCTGTCTCTCTCTGTCTTTCTGGTGAGCGCACACGTCCTATAGCAAAAACCTCTCAAAAAAAAAAAGAAAAGAAAAGAAAAGAAAGAAAGCAACCGTGTATCTATGCATATTTGAAGGTCAATGCCTGGAAATCCACTCTTGATGAATACCATCAAGCAAAGGGTATGTAACATCCATCACACATCTGTTTCAAAAGCACCATATTTCCAAAATTATACGTTATTAAGTTGAACATTCACAGAATGCAGATTTGCCTTGAGTAGAATTGTGGTCTCTCTCCCCAGATGAGCCCCCTCTTGTCACATCCAGTATTCTCAACTCTGACTCAACAATTTCCTTCTCTCCTAGGAGCTTTGAGGGCAACCTGAACACCTATAAGCGGCTTGCCATCAAGTTGCCTGATGACCAGATCCCAAAGGTGGGTGGCCACCCTCTGGGGATGCCCAGAGCTTTACAAAGCTCAGTGCCCTTCTGCCCTGGCTGATGCAGGTCGCAATCTAAATGTCAGCTCCTAGAAGGTTGTCCTTGACCTCTTATGGACTTTCCAGCCCAGCCTCTCTCCTAATGAGGATGAATGTTGCCTGGTCTGGCACAGAGTGGGCCTCTTGCCAGTGTACAGCTGATGGGAGCATGCACCTGCCTGGTGACACAGGGCCTACCTTCTCCTGTTTTGCAGAGCAATTGCAATGTGGCTGTCATCAATGTGGGAGCACCTGCAGCTGGGATGAATGCTGCCGTGCGCTCGGCTGTGCGAGTGGGCATCGCCGATGGTCACAAAATGCTCGCAATCTATGATGGCTTTGATGGCTTTGCCAAAGGACAGGTGAGTCTCCCACAAGGCCCCAGGCAGCAAACACCCTGTATTGAACATCATTGAACACAAAGGTGCTGGCCACCCAGGGCTTTCCTACACTTCCCATCCAGGGTTCTGTAACATTGTGAATATATGACTATTTATTTACTACTTATTCTGTCCTAAGGTTGCAGGCTCCCAAATCAAGCACAGTTGTAATGTATTCTAAGGTTTTCTCAAAAGGCATCAGGGATGGCAGGAACTCTGGCATCCAGTGGACTCTGACCTTACTTGAAAAGAATATGATTAAGCTTCCTTTGTTTCAACCACTCCATGTTTCTCTTTTTTTTGTTGCTTTTTTCTTGATACATTTATATATAATAAATTCCTATGACACTGATTCCAAAAGATATATATAAATTGGCTTGACATGATTAACAATTTAAAGTGGAATATGAGCATAAGGGCAACTTAAACATGGGCATTCATTTACATGAGTCAATTCAAGGTCAGTGACTATATTAGGAAAAAAAGTGAGGTTGGAAAATCTTTAGAAAGCAACCCTGTATTGGGGACCAGCAGTTGGTGTAATGGCTGTGTCGCTGGACTCCCATGTAGCTGACCACAGTTCAAGTCCCAGATCCGGTGGCTTAAACTCACGCCGGGAGCCATGTGCGTGTGTGCCCAAGATTCCAAGAGGAGAATGGAAGAGAAGGGATTGTAGCATAGCCATCCCCCTTGAGGATGATTTCTCGCTTTCTGTCTCTGTCTCTCTCTGTCTTTCTGGTGAGCGCACACGTCCTATAGCAAAAACCTCTCAAAAAAAAAAAGAAAAGAAAAGAAAAGAAAGAAAGCAACCGTGTATCTATGCATATTTGAAGGTCAATGCCTGGAAATCCACTCTTGATGAATACCATCAAGCAAAGGGTATGTAACATCCATCACACATCTGTTTCAAAAGCACCATATTTCCAAAATTATACGTTATTTTTTAATAAACATTATATTGCTAATAATTATAGAGACATCGTCAGGATGAGCTCCAACATAAGCTGCTAAGTGTCACAAGGCATCCCTGAGCCATGTCTTAAGGCATTCCTTTTAATCTTGAGGTTTTAAGAACATCTTTTTAGGTTCAGTTGGTTTTATATCTCCATGTTCACCTTCTTCATAATTGGCTCAGTCTCTCTTCGTAATGAACATTTTTCCATTTGTCCCCACCAAAGTCTTATTATCTTCTAGACATTTCTTTGTCTGACACATCCAGCTCCACTGTTTCATCTTCAACGTCGTCTTTGTTCTTGACATTCCCCTGCAGCATTAATTTTTCAACCTCAGGATTAAATTCATAGAGAAGATCTTCATATAACAAGAAACTCTGCTTTTCTATTACGAGCCTCTCTTTCTCTTTAAGCTCTGGCAAATTCAAATACCAGTGTTCTTCACTAATGATTTTCTTTTCTGCCTCTTCCAGTTGTTTCTTGGTTTCCAAGTCCAGTCTACTTTGCATGAACTTCATGCACAGCAGTTTCTTGGACAACTTGGTTTTGCATTCTGCCATTATATTTCTTCCAGCCTGATGCCACCTCCTTTTTTTTTCCCCCATTAGGAAAAGATTTTTAAACTCTTTTAACACTATAAAAGCCATAATATTGGGACCAGCAAATGGCATAATGGTTATGTCACTGGACTCTCACATAGTCAACTGCGGTTCAAGTCCTGGACTGGGCAGCTTAAAATTCACACTGGGGGGTTTGTGCATGAGGGCCAGGACTCCCAAGAGGAAAATGGAGAAGGGATTGGGGCATGGCCATTTCCCCCAGGGGGCAATTTCTTACTTTCTGCCTCTTTTTGGTCTCTCTGGCAAGTATACGTGCCCTATAGCAAAAATCTATAAATAAACAAACAAACAAATCATGATATTAATTTTGTTTTATTTCCCAATGATAGACTTTGCCATCTCATACACAATGGGGGCTAAGACGTAGATATTCCCTATGACTATGAGAACAGTCTTATAACCTCACAGATCTTGACAAGGAGGTCGCCTGTTAAAGGCACAGAATCTGAGATGTTTAATGCTTCCTAATTCCCTTTTGTTTTTTCACTTGAGCTTTTTCATTCTGTATTTGCACATTAGATCAAAGAAATCGGCTGGGGAGATGTTGGAGGTTGGACCGGCCAAGGAGGGTCTATTCTTGGGACAAAACGGTAATTCCAGATCTTGATTCTCAAACTTATTCTTTTTGTTTTTAAGAGACTTTTGCTATTAGGGTGTGTGCATTCACCAAAGAGACAGAAATAGCATGACAGAAAGCAAGAAACCACTTCCCCCTGGGGGATGGGCACACCACAATCCCTTCTCCTCCATTCTCCTCACAGGATTTTGGGCATGCACGCACACACTCCCAGTGTGAGTTTCAAGCTACCAGGTCGGGAACTTGAACCACTGGTGACCATGTGGGAGTCCAGCACCTTAACCACTAAGCCATCTGCTGGCCCTTCAAACTTATTCATAAGGGAGAAGAAAAAGCTGTATTAGAGGAGAGAGTAACTAGGTGTTGATGGTTTCCCATAAAGGAATTTCTAAAGGCCAGAGTACTAAGCCAGTTCCATAAACTGAAAATCATAATTGCATTCCCACCCTTGGAGGGACCTGGATATGTTTCAGGGAAGATGAGATCAGGGCTTGGGAAGAGAGGGCAGGTAAATAGTGGACACCTTCTTCCAATCCTTATTTCCATTTACGTGAAGAGCAAAATAGCACGCAAAACTCGTCTACTTCATTTAAGGTCATAAAGTGGAGCTATAGTAACTGTGCTGTATAAACCAGAACGAAAACCTCCCTGATGATAGGCTCATATTGGTGGGAATGACAGAACTGAGTGACTCAAAGCTCCAATTTCCATAGCTCAGGAAATGACCTGCGTGATTCTAGTATAAAAATGTAGATTTCTGAATTATACTAAGCTTCCATTTTCCCACCTAGACATAGATACAATATCCAAAGAAGCACTGTTATTTATTATTATATTTAAGTTGTGTTCATCTTTGATGATCTCAGGGTTACAAGTAGTAGTATCAATCATTATGATCGATTATATTTTAATATTGGGAGAAAAAAATTTTTTATGTAAATTAAATAAATGTTGGCTTCTATGTATGTGTGACTTCTTGCACTGAGCAAATTTGTGCCAACCTTTGCTCTGTTTTAAAGCCAGGACTCCCGGTTCCACCCAGAGGCGGGAAGGGAGTCCACAGAGATGGATTCGTTCTGCACTTGAGTCCAGTCCCTCCCAGAACCATGGTGTTGGTGCTGATAGCAAGGCTCTAGTTAGAAGTAGGCATTGTCTGTCACTGTCTTGGGCCTCTGCAGAGTGGCTGTGACATCCAAAGCATAGGTTTGCTTTATAAGCTGCCCTGGGCCCAGCTCTGAAATAGCTAGGTGGGACTAGTTATTAGCATTGGGTACATTCTAAATATGCTTAAAAACTTATGTATCAGAAAGCTGGGAGGGGTTTTATACGTATTTGTTCTAACTTGCCGTGCCTGAATACTTTTTGCCTTGCAACTATTTATCAATCTATCAAGAGTATAAGCATTTTATTTTCTCCCATAGGTATGAAAGAAAAATAGGGTTGGGTGTTTTTTGGGGTGTTAAGTCTGGGTATAGACAAATATCTGCCTGGTGGTGTACTTGTTAAACCTGCCACTAGGTGATAACGTGGGACAGAGTTAGCAAGTATGAAATGATGCAACAAGAAATGAAATGAAATTGAATAATGTACATACCAGTTATTTGGAAACTGGAAATTTACTATTGAAATAATTATTGCCAACAATTGCACACTCTTGTGGTTAGTTTTTTCTAATTGGGCAGTGCAATTCTTTTTAGGTCAAGCTGAAATGCCTTTTCCCATCTTCTTTTGAAAATACTATCTTTTGAGATGTGATTCCTGGCCATTCCCACCTTATGGAACGATCCTCGCTGCCTGGGCTGCTGTCTGACAACCATGATGGCAGGAAGGAAACAGGACACGTGCACTGGGGGCCACATGGTTTCCACTAGGTTGGCTGGCGTTAGGTATATCATGGAATGAGTGGCGTTGGTTGATGTCTGATCTCACTCCTGGATCTAACTATTTTTTAGTACTCTGCCTGGAAAGAACTTGGAGGAGATCGCTGCACAGATGCGGGCCCATAATATCAATGCCCTGTTGATTATTGGTGGGTTTGAGGTATGTTATTGCTCTCTGTTAGCCTCCTTGTCAGTTTCTAGGTATGAACACAACCCTGCGTTGGCCTCGTGCAAGCAGAATACTGGTTGGCTACTCTTCGTGAGCTGAGATTATATTAGGTTGTCCAAAAACCCATGATATATTTTTCTATGTTTTCTATGCAAAAATGTCTCATGACTTCCCTGACAACCCAATAGTTTCCCAGGCCCATCCGCCACTGGCTAATCATAATGCAGCAAAATGACAGGGTGACAAGACGTGGCCTAAGACTGACCCAATTCTAATAAAACATCTTAACTTGGGAGCAAAAACTTGACTTCTTAACTGAGAATCATCTGTACAGTGAGTTCTGATATATTAAAATTTTGAGCCTTTAGAAATAATTCTATTTCAGGCCAGTTAGTGGTGTGGTGGAACTGCCTGATTCAAGTACTAGACCTAGTGGCTTAAAAAACATACGGGGTACATGTATATGCATGTTCCAAATCCCCAGAGAATGGAAGAGAAGGAATTAAACCATGGCCACCCCTCCAGGAGGGGTGCTTTCTTTCCTTTCTCTTTCTCACTCTGGCGAGCACATAGACCCTACAGAAAATTTTTTTTAAATGAATATTTTTAAAAAAGAATTCTATCTCTTGTATCTAAAGTCCATTGGCTATTTAGGGAGGAAGGTAACTAGGTGGCTATAATTTAATCACATATTGGAATGTAGTCCTTAGTATTTTTCTGTTCAATGAAGACAAGTCCCATAATGACCTTTCCATTGACTTTAAAGAAAATTTAAGAATCTCAAAAATTCAGACTCTTACACATAAAAGAATTAGTTTTGCTTCTACATGATAATGTCTTGTGTTTTCCTTTGTGCTTAAAACCCACTTACCCTTCTCTCTGGTCTTAATGCTTCTCTATTGGTTTTTCATGGTTCCGTGGTACCCTCTGTGTGCCTGTGTGCTGCGGTAGCAGTGGCTTTCCCTGAGCTCTTTCCTGCACTGTCACTCCCACCCCACCCTGTCCTCTCTTCCTTTTTAGCCCCCACAATTGTACACACTTATCTGACAGGCCTACCTGGGACTCCTTGAGCTGTCAGCTGCCCGGGAGAGACACGAGGAGTTCTGTGTCCCTATGGTTATGGTTCCTGCCACTGTCTCCAACAATGTACCTGGTTCCGATTTCAGCATCGGGGCAGACACAGCTCTGAACACCATCACGGATGTAAGTCCCTGTGTGTCCAGCAAAGTAGGCATCGGCTGACGCTAACCCTGAGGGCCGGCCCTTTATCTACCAGTGCACTAGAAATGACCTTTTCCTACTTGCCACACAGTCCTCAGAATAACTTTTTTCTTCCTTTTTTTTTTTTTTTCAGAAAAGTATTTTAAAAAATTTCTTAGGCTATAAAAATCTGTGCTCAAGATCTTACAGATTTTTACCACTTCTTTTTGCATGTGGCTACTGGGATGATGTCACACTGCCAAGACTCCTTAAGTGATAGTGAGCATCTGTAGTTGGAGTACTGTTGAGTTGCGGTATTTTGAGATTTGGATAACCATCAAAACTAACTTTTTTCCCTTTTATCTTCTGATTTTTTTGGCTGAGCTTAATTTACTTTAAGTTTATAATATCTTATTGTGATGAAATTCTGGATCCCAGGGTCCCTATCTTGATGTTTAAAGATAAAAACTGAACCAAACATTTTATGTGTTGATCTGAATCCACTATTTGCATTTATCATGTTTCTTTGTCAGTGGCCATTAACATTATTTGCCCTTTTGTACTGAGGGCATTAAATTACATCTAAAACAATATTGATGCTATTTTAGCTTCTTTGCAAAAGGCAATAACAAAACATGGAAATAAATGCATTCTCATTATTATATTTGTAGATCACACTTGGTGATTTACATGGGAGTCTGACAATTATCTAATGCAGTAAGTAAATATAAATATATTTGGTGTCTAACATTTTTCAGTAATTTTCAGAAATTTTTATTTTTCTTGTGAGACTTACAAAGGGTTTTCTGACTTGTTTTTCTTAAATTCTTGGCATCAAACTCATTTCTAGTGCTGGTAAATAAAAAGTAAAAAGCTTTTAACATAAAATTCAAATGGTAAGTAATGCTTACAAGTGCTTATTTCTTGCTTTTATGAACTTACACTCTGCAGTTTCTTTACTAAAGAAACTTGCCCCGTGTTCCCTAGGTTCACTGGGGCTGGAATTGATACTTACTCTGTTTATTTGCAATCATTAACCTCTTGCTTAGATATTGCTTATGCTTCCCTGGTGGCTGTTGTAACTACTTTTGGTGCTATTAGGCTGGTTTGGGCTCTTGATTGATCTCAAATTGTGAATGTAAAGATCAGTTTCTATTTCAAAATAAATGTATCTTTTTTTTTTCTTGTATTGCCATTTTTCTTGCCTGAGCTAAGATCTTGATTTTACACAAGCCAAGTGAGCTTGCAGTGGAAGCAATGGGAGCTTCTTATTTCAGAATCATTTCCAAGTTAGATCCCTCCTAAGGGGCATGAGTGGAGAACTGGGAGGCTATCGCTCATGGTTGGTAGGAGCTTGTGCAGTTCCTGGCCATGGTTGGTGTTTATCTCTTGTGACATTTGATGTGCACTTTCAGGCATGAGGTTGAAAAGATTCTCTCACTTGATAATTCAGGCTCCTCTGCTATACTATGATTTTTTTTAAGATGGAAAAGATATAATGTATGTGTGTTGTGTAAATTTGGAAACCAAATTAGATGGAGAAGGAAAGTATTTACTTTGCTTTCTTTTGACTTCCTTTACAGAGATTTTGTGATTTCTTATGTGATTTTTCGAGTTCAGTTTTGTATTCATTTGAATTTCTCCAAGCTAGATTAGTCCATGATAACCTTTGAGAAAGGAAAAGAATGAGTAGGTAGTTTCACCTTCCTGTCGGCTCAGGCGTGACCATCATGGTAAGTGGAGGTGTGTGGTTTCCACTGCCCACTTAGTTACTGGGGCTCCAAGGAACTGGCTGTCATGGTGGTGCCGTGGTTCGTGTCTCATGGTGGTGGCTGGAGCCAGGCTGGTGGGGATGACTTCAGTGGATGCTGTGACTGCTCAGGATTGGGCAAGGGATGAAAATGCAGCGGTGAGTCCTTTCACATATCCTGGCAAAGGGACCAAGATAATGGACATGGCTTCAGTGTCTTCCAGAGTTCTGTTTATTGAGTCCAAAATGAAGTGAAATCCTTTTTAGCAGGTTTGGATTTGGGGTCTGAACTAGTCTAGACTGGTTATGACCTATATGAAGGAAGGGGACTGGCATCCTGTCTAGGGGGTGAGGGCTTGTGGTGATGCAACACTAGGTCACTCTGGGGTGGTCCTGGGACTGCTCTGGTGGGTCGTGGGAGGCCTTTGCAATGGAGGAGCCACAGTGTGCCAGCATCAGGTCACCCACTCTCTCAGTAACTTCTAACAGGCATCCCAACAGGTCACCTGCAGGCCATAGCCAAAGGGGATCCCCACACTCTGTCTGGATGCTCTGTGTGTAGCAGCTTACAGCTGGGCCCTGGACAGCATTTGGGTGGACATCTCCCAATACCAGCCGGTTCCTTTTTATCAGAGAATCAAGAGGTTTTCAACTGCAGGTGATTTAGGCTCCAGGGGACATATGCAATGTACAGAAACATTTAGGAGTATCAGAACTGGGAGAAGGGGCTACTCCTGGCATCTGCTGGGTAGATCCAGGGATACTGCTCCACTTCCTAACACACAGTGGGGTCCCCACTACAAGGGGCCAACCCAACTCAGAATGTCAGCAGTGCAAGGGTAGAGAAACCCTATGCTAGTCGCATGTCATTACCTTTAGATAGGTGGTCATTGTCCTCATTATTTCCTCCTTGCTGGCACTGAAGTGTAGCTTAGAGATGTGTACTGCAAATATATCTCAGTGTGTACAGTATAATAGTTAGTGGGTCTTCTGGACAGAGCGAGATGAATAAAATGCCTCATAGCAGGCGTTTGAAACTTCTCACGACCTGGGTGTAGAGATTTTCAGTTGGATTTTCTTGTTATTCCTCTCTGTTGGCACATTACCTTGTTATAGTGAAAAAAAACACAACCAATGTGAGCTAATGGGAGGTGCCTGTGATGTGACCATGAAGTTCCAGGAAGGCAGCAGTGACCGAGCCCTGTTAACAGTACCAAATTATTATCACAAAGAAACTTGGGATCAGCAGATCCCAAGCAGGGTAATAGTTACATCACTGGGCTCTCACATAGTTGACCACAGTTTGAGACCCAGACCCAGCAGATTAAAACTCACGTCGGGTACATGTAGCCAACAATCTCTAGAGGAGAATGAGTGTAAAGGGATTGGGGCGTGACCACCCCCACCCCCCAGGGTGTGATTACTCACTTTATGTCTCTCCGGAGAGCTCAGGGGCTCTACAGCGGGGGAAAAAAAAAAAAAAACTCTCAAAAGAAAAGAAAAAGAAAGAAAGAAACTGAAAATCATAACTGAATTCCTAGATAGCCGTCCTGTTTCTTTTCTTAGTGTGGATAGCTCAAAATGTCCAGGGTAGCTGAATGTGTTTTAAAATGATCTACACTTGGAGCCAAGAATTTTGAGTTGTTGGGAAAGTTATGATGCATTTTTGGACAGAAAGTTGACCACAGTTTGAGACCCAGACCCAGCAGATTAAAACTCACGTCGGGTACATGTAGCCAACAATCTCTAGAGGAGAATGAGTGTAAAGGGATTGGGGCGTGACCACCCCCACCCCCCAGGGTGTGATTACTCACTTTATGTCTCTCCGGAGAGCTCAGGGGCTCTACAGCGGGGGAAAAAAAAAAAAAAACTCTCAAAAGAAAAGAAAAAGAAAGAAAGAAACTGAAAATCATAACTGAATTCCTAGATAGCCGTCCTGTTTCTTTTCTTAGTGTGGATAGCTCAAAATGTCCAGGGTAGCTGAATGTGTTTTAAAATGATCTACACTTGGAGCCAAGAATTTTGAGTTGTTGGGAAAGTTATGATGCATTTTTGGACAGAAAAACATAGGAAAATACATCATGACTTTCCCAATGCCTAATAGGTAAAGTCACTGTTGTAGCTATAGGCCCTACCTAGATGTAAGACCTTCACTTGTCATTGGAGTTTCATACTTGCCCAGACAGAGTCCCCACCCCAGTATTCCTGTCATTTTCTGGGTGGTTGAAGGAAAGAAATGAGGAGTGTTGGGGAAGAGAAGATAAAGTGTTGGCAGCCATACAACCGCCATTGGAGACTGGGGTTCAGGCACTAACACCTCCTGCCCACCTACCCTTCCACTGTGCCTAGGCCCTTCTCAGCCTAGGTGGCTTCTACACCTCCTTGACTTCTAGCACAAGCAGCCAGTTACTGTACAGCCCGTTATTTATTTTTTTAAATCAGAACTAGAGAGGTGCACAGTGAAGAGAGTGAAAATACCTTTCTAGATAGTGCTGGGGAGCCCTCCAGTAGCAGTGCCAATGGATCCGAATCCAGAGCACTGACCAAAGAGCATCCCTAGATGAACCCTTCATGGTTCTGAAGCATGCTACATTTGAATAAAGGCTGTGAAAACTACCTGGATGACAGGGACATCTGGACACTGGCTAAGAGGCTGGGCCACATGCCGAGCTTGGGTGGGCTATGACTATGGCTGGCAAGAGGGAGAACCTGCTCACACTTTCCCCTGGGACCACCCTACCTCGGCACTGACCGACCCTTCTTACCCTCCTACTGACTACTCTGTGCACTAACATACTGCAGGTCCACAACTCACTGTCCAGAATCCTTGGGCCACAGGGTTGTAGAGCTCAGAATGTCTTGGATGGCAGAGAGGTGATGCAGAACATGTGGCACCTTGCATAACCTTTGCAGGAGGCATGGCCCCACTCCGCATACACACTATATTTCTGCAGCAAAATGGACCAATACATTATATACAGGGCAAGTAAAAGACTGTGAATGGGTCAGGTTTGACACCAAATGGATCATAAAATGTCTTGTTTTGCTTGGAGCTGCTTGGATTTAGGTACAGTGACGAGTGGACCTGTTCACTAACTCTGCAACATCCTAAGGCAGATGATGACGAAAATTTCTGTTCACCTAAAGAACATCTCATCTTTTTGACATCAGAACCAAATCCTTTCATATTGAGCTCATACAACAATCAGGTCTATGTTGCTCTACATAAGATTGCAAGGGCCACGGGAGGGAG